TTCAAGGCAAAGTTCGGCGTCAGACCCACCTAAGAACCCATTACCATGGCTAGAAGTGCTGGGCACGCAAGTGCAAAGTTAGCGCCACCTTTCTACATCGAAACCCGTCACCAGGACCCTAGGCGCCATGAACTTCTAACAGACTCCACCAAACACATGGTCCGCCCACCGTTCGATATCTTGTCTGCGTCGCTGCGTTGATCTGCTATGCTCTCTCTTCTCGGACTTCTCTACCACTCTCCGCGCTCACATTATCTCTCATCTCCCTGCCTGTCTTTTGAACTTCTCCACAGCATAGAGCAAAATGCTCGTATTTCCTGTGTATTTCAGGATTTTCTTTCCTTTTTTCTCCACTGGCGGTCCACCTCCTCATCCCTACTTTCACATTTGAGTGGAATCAACCCATCAATGTAATCCTGATTCTTGCCTTTAATTTATTGTTCTGCAGTGGAGCAATTGGAGCTAGGTCCGTGAAACTCGTCCAACACGCCCTTTTTTTCCAAGGTGGATTGCGGCTGCGGCTGGAAGTGGAGAGGTTCCTATTTAGGGCGTGATCGGGTTTTCTTTGCTTTCTTTTCCTTTTCCAGACCACCTCCCACCTCTGAATTCATAACTGAACGCTTTTCCCACACCTATTTTTTTTTATCCCGAAGCATGCCTTTAATTTGGCGTACCCTGTACAAGCATTTAATTTTTCCACTTTTACTACGCCATTGTGAAGCAGTTGTGTTGCACGACACCGTATTACATAATCGGTAAATAGCGAAGGATCTGGTGATAAATATGTGGATGAAGACACACTTTCGACCTCTAACCTGAATTACAGCTATGTTTGAATGTGTGACATTTCCACACTTTGGCTTACGAAAATCACAAGATTGATTTGTTTTTTTAGAAGTCCTTCGAAAAAACGTCATCATGCGTGCGATTGTCAGCATCAAAGCAGATCGGCTCAATCCCACATTTAGTCGAATGGCCGCCAACTTCGCGGAAGGGTTCTCACGAAGATGGCCAGAGCGAGAGCCTTCTCTCCACTGTGTACGGGTCTCTTTTTGCCTCTTCCTTGAACTTTCTTTTCTTTTTTTCTTTTAACTTTTTTTCCTGGTGTGGATCAGAATAGTTGTTTGAATGGGCTCGACTTTTGAGAGAGCTTTTTGCCATTTCTACTGCGAGCAATGCTTGAAATAATGCCAGCTATGAGATTTGCTCAAATAGTGCAAGGGTGGAACACACACCGGTCGGCGTCAGTCCATCTCCTTCAAGAAAAACCATACGTTTGGCCACCGGTCTGAAAAGTTCTCAAGTTCGACTTTTTGTATGATAGTGAAATGCGCTGTCCATCCCCTTTTCGAATCATTTTTTCAACCATCGAATGATACAGCGTTTTTCTTGGCAAGATTCAAACAGTGTTTCAGCTCAGACACAGTAAGTGACCTGTGATACCCTGAAGAAAGGCTGGTTAGATGACTTAGATGTGGAAGTTGAATTGATACGATGTAAGGAGGAAGTGGAATCCCATCCATCTCGGAATGTTGTCGAGTTTTGGATAAAACTCGCTGTGTTACAGAATCCCACTTTCTTGAATTTTGATAGTTTATTCGGGGCTCTCCTCACAGCTGCGCCGTTTAGGACCTCTGCTTTCGTGTTCGATCACCGTCGAATTCTTGTGATTGCTGCTCTGAACGCTGCACAACCTGATTTCGCTCATGATTTCCTTAAATCTTATCAGATTTGCCTTTTTAACAATTTGATTCTTGATCAATGGTGGTCACTCATCTTCCCTACGTCCTTTCATCGATAACGCCACAAAATTGACTCCACCTCCCAGTCATTGCAACCACGCTCCTTTATGTGTCCGTTTTGTGGAGACCGCCTTTTTATCACAAATAGAATTCCAAGTGTGCGCATTCTCGGAAAGATACAGTAACGCCGAGCGGCTTGTTCTGCCTACCCCTTTTCTAGATTGACCGATTTTGTGCGTGACATATAAGCTCATGCTTCTTAAAGGCAAGATTCGGGATAAAATAGGTGTGGAAAAGCGTTCAGTTATGAAGCTATAGGTGGGAGGTGGTCTGTAAAAGAGAAGGAAAGCAAACGAAACCACCGATTACGCCCCGTACAGAGACCTCCCCTATTTCAGCCACATTCCACCTTGGGATAGAGAAGAGGCGAATTGGACGAGTTTCACGAACCTAACTCTACTTGCTCCAGTGTCAATAACATTGGATCGCGCTGGGACCACTGCCTCAAATGCGCCCGCGCTTTTCAAGCAGCGCCACGTGGCAACCGACAGCGAAAGGGTGGGGCTTGCGGACGAAGGTGTGAGTTGCGGGTTGGACGAGCTCCTTGCGCCTTTGTCGCGTACTTTCAAGCCGCAAAAGGGGCCCGACATCAACACTTGTCCACCTGCCTACTACCCCCTGGATGGAACAGGCGAGCCCGCCTGATCGCGGAGCGTGCCTTTAAGGAATTGTTCATGGGAGATGTTTGAAAAGCAAGTCCATCTAGAATTCAAGATTTTCAAAAAATTTTCTATTGAGGTGATTTCAGCTCGGACACAATGACGGCAACCAGTTGTGCGTCGTCTGGTGCTGATGGGCATGTCGACACTCAACCCCTTACAACTCGTCAACAGCAGCAGCAGCGACAAGAACACTCCTTTCAGTGTCGCGTGTAAAAACCGCCAACCAAATATGAAAAGCGTATAATTACCAATCATACAACGTCGGCTGCAGGAACACCCCTTTTATGAATCGAAATACCGAATACTGGTAGTAGACTCATAAGAGCGATCATATACAACTAATTAACACGCGAAAATCGACTTCTTGTTTAAGAGTTTGAGACAGTTGTTGCCGCGGATGTTGCAGAACGTTAGCCCCTTGGAGTTACGGTAGCCGACGTTAGTGCGTGGTGATTACGGTAGCTGCATATTGGTGATACGCTTCATAGATACTGTGGAAGAGACAGTTGTACAGAAGATTATTTCTTGAACTTGGTTTACCTATTTTCATCTTTATCTATGTTCACTCATTCATTCGTTCATTCGTTCGTTCATTCATTCATTTTTATGTCGGTCGGTGTACCACATTTCAACTGCTAGTCCGATGTTTTCAGTGTC